CAGAGAGAAGCCCCCCACCACAGGCTGACCCCACGGCCAGGCTTCCTCCAGCCCTGCCCGCTCCCTGCCTGCGCTGCCTGCCCTTCCTGCCTGCTGGGACCGGGCAGTGCTTGTTCCCAGAGCGGCGCCTGTCAAAAATAGGAGGAGAGCTCTCTCTCGGGCTGATTTCCCCCTTTTTTTGTTAAAAATAATCTTCAAAAATTTAAAATAAGCAAGCAGCTGCCTGGCTCCAAAACGCCGCATTAATCCACTGGCAAAAAATGTATTTAGCCGACATATATTTTGCAGCTCACAATTTAAGATGATTTCTGGCCAGCATATATTTAATGCAATATATGCAATATGTTTCTGGCCAGCATATATCTAATGCCATATAAGGAGCTGGTCACAGGTTTCGGGGTCCACCTCACCCACATCACCGAGAGGGGATTTTCCATCTTGCTGCACGGCACCATCCTGTTTCATGCCTTCAAATATCCAGGCGTGGATGGAAGCGATGCACAGATGGAAAATTTTCCTTATTACAGGGGAGAAGCTGGAATTCAATCCACCAGCGGGTCCGGAGCCATCCCCATCCCCAGCACCTGGAGCCCCGTCCCCAGCCACTGTGCCGGCAAGTTTCCCGGCCTGGCAAACAGCAGCTATTATTTGAGCATGGATTTACTGATGTTTTTTACTGCCATACCAACCCGCCGATCCCCTTCCCTGCAGGACAGATGGATGCCTGGACAGAGGGACAGCTGCGGAGCCCAACCCCCTTGGCACCTGTGGGGTCCCCGCCATCAAATGGGACTTTCAAAGGTGTGTGTTAAAAGCAGAGTTACCCTAAGGACTCAAAAAATAATAATAAAAAGAGATTCCCCTCGACATTTTCCTTCCTACCCAAAATAGATGGAAAATTGCTGTAAAAATAATTGCATTTTTTTAAAACCCCACAGCGACACAGGGCGTTTTTCCCAGGGGCCGTCCCGTTCTGGCACAGGGCTGGCCCCTTCCCAGGAGGAGCCCATGCATCGGCAGCTGGTGGGATGCTGCGTCCTG